CACCAGTCCAAGCCGTCGCGCCAGGCCGCGTGCAGCTGCTCGGCCGACGCCAGGATACCATCCTGTCCAGCGCAGGCGCGCTGCGCCTCAATGAAAGTCAGCTTGTAGCGGCCTCCACGGGGGTGGTAAGGGAAGACCACGCCTGGGAAAACACAGGGGAGTCAGCTCAGGCCCTCCCAACCATCCCCACCCACCTGACACTGGGGGGCCCTGTGTCTCTTCAACCTAGATCTTCCAGTCCATCCCTCACTCTGGTCTCAGATCTGACCATGCTTTTTTCCAGCTCACACTCCTCCTGGCTCCCTTTGCCTTAAGCTTGATTCACTTGACCCTCCTCCTTAACATACTTAATCGTGTCTACCCCCTTTCCACCGCTGGAGACATTTGCTCATGTGCTTTCCACCTGTTGAGCTCTTATTCATCCTTCAAAACCCAGCTCCCACAACCCTCCTCCATTCAGTCTTAGGTGCTTCTGACATTCTCCCAGCACTGGGACCTTCCTTCTGATCAAGCCCTGAGTCCACAAAGCTGGGAATGTCTATGTCCAGTGCTGGCTCCCCTACACTGGGAGCCCCAGAAAGGTTGACCCTGGGCAAAAACTCCCTTTGATCCACAGCACTGTCCAGGGCAGTCAGTACCCCTTGGTTTTCCTTCCACCGTCAGTCGTTATAACTGTCAGACTTGCAGTCAACTCAGCTCACAAGTGTTCTGTCTGTCTGTGTTTGAAGGGCGGACCTTGGGGGTTTTTTGGGCACTCTCAGCAGGTGCAGGGAGGAGGCAAAGAGGGACCAACCAGGGAGAAGACCTGGAGCCTGGCAGACTGGGGTTTAAGTCCTGGCTCTGCTGCTCACTATCATGTGCCCTTGGCACAGGTCTAACCTCTCTGAGCTAGTTGAACCATCCTCAGGGGTTTTGGAAAAATTAAATGAGAAACTCCAGAGAGCTCTTCAGCCAAGTGCCTGGCACATAGACAATGCCCAATAAAGGAGAATTGCTGCTATTGTTGTGTTATTTACTATTATTGGGAAGTTGGCAAGTGAAGGCCCCAAAATCTTTCCAAGCATCTTCTACTAGTAAATGACTGAAGAAGACAAATCAGGTGGAAGGGAATTTTTTCAGATAGAAACGCCACCTCCAAGCTCTGCTGTCAGCCAATCAGAGCATCCCCATCTTCTGGCCACAGCTGGGCACATGACTCAGAAGCTGAGCCCAATGAGGGACAAGTCTGGGACTTCTAGGAAATCAGTTGCTAAGCTGGGAGGGTGGAAGCCTGGCACGAATTTTTAGAATTTTTAGTTTCGTCTTGCAAGAGGAAAGCCCACCCAGGGAGTCAAAGCTGAGGGAGGGACTCCTGACATGGTATGAGTGCCTGGATCTTACTGTGCCTGAATCCTACACCAGGGTTTCCCAACATCCTCACTATTGGTATTTTGGACTGGGTCATTTTTTGCCCTGGGGGACTGTCCTGTGCTTTGTGGTATATATCACAGTATCTCTGGCCTCTACCCACCAGATGCCACCAGCAACTTCCTTTTAGATGTTACAGTGTCCCTGGGTAGCAATAACCACCGTGAATCAAACTACCCCACCAAGCCTCTAAATTCCTTCAGGACAAGGATTTGGTTTCTCTTCTTTGCAATTCCCTCCCCTCTCCTCCCTGAGAAATGCCTCTCATCCTGCCCTCAGGCTGGTCACCTTCCAGGTCCAGCTTGACCATGCCCGTGTCATCCTCTAGTTCGTTGGTGACCTCGCACTCATAGTGCCCGTAGTCTTGCAGCGTGACATTTCGGAGAACCAAGGAGGCGTCCCCGGGACCATCACCCTGCAGCTCGGCCCGCCCTCGGTAGCTGCCAAACGCCCGGTGCTGGGGGCCCAGCGCCACGAAGACATCGGTAAAGGCCAGCGGCTCCACCACTTTAGTCCACTTGAGACGGACACCTTCGTGGCTGTGGACGGTTGCCTCGTAGTGGTAACGGCAGGGCAAGACGATGGTGCCACCCCGGTGGCTGACTACCTGCCCGGGCGCTGTCTGCACCACCACCGAGCCCGACTCGCCCTCTGTGGGTGACCAAGGAGGGTTCAGATGAAGTCCTAGGGGTGGGGTAGGGAACCTGGGGAGGGGGATCCTGGAAGGGGATGTGGTTATTAAACTTGGGTGGGGGTAACTCAGATGGGTAGAGAGGCTCAGGGAGGGAACTGGGAGGGGGAGGAGCTGGGGGGGAGGACGGTGGCCTTCGGGACCGCTCAGTGCCCTCCCCTTTCCCTCCTCCATGCACCCTGGCGATCACACCTGGCCACCGCTCTCTGACTTACCCAGCACGTGCACGACCTTCTTCCTGCCGCGCTGCGCCCCTGCGGGGGCCACGAGCAACAAGACTCCCCAGAGCGCGCAGGGACCGAGGGCCGCCCGAGCCCACACCTGGGGGCATCGGACACTCAGTCCAACCTCCTGGCTTTTGCCTTTAGGAGGACTAGCCCCTCGCTTCTCACGGGCCCAGGCCTCCTCCTCGTCTAGGGTCCCAGAGGAGTCCCCCGGGAAGGCTGGCAAAGCCCTCCCTCCCCATTCCCTCTCCTGGGACGTCACACGCTCTCTCTTGCACAAAGCCCACCCGCCTGACCGCACCCTCTCTTAGTCCCGCCTGATCCCCTAACCTCAACTCCGGGGGCTCCAGCCCCGCCCCCTTCGCTCCGACCTGGGCAGAGGAGGCGAGAGGAGGGAGGAGTCGAGCAGCGGCAGCGGCAAGGTTATTCGTGCGCCAGGAGACTGCAGCAAACCCGGCCGGGCGGTGGGGGTTAGGGATGCGGGGGAGTCGTGGAGAAAAGGAGAGAAAGAGAGAGGGAGAAGGAGAGGGAGAGAGAGAGCGAGAAAAGGGAAAGAGACACAGGGAGAAAAGCAGGGAGAGATGAAGGCAGAGGAGAGAGAGCAAAAGGGAGAAAGAAGAGGAAGAAAAGTCGGAGAGAAACATGCAGAGGGAGAGACAGAGACTGAAAAAGATGAGAGGAGAGCGAGCAAGAGGGAGAGACAGAGACTGAAAAAGATGAGAGGAGAGCGAGCAAGAGGGAGAGACAGAGACTGAAAAAGATGAGAGGAGAGCGAGCAAGAGGGAGAGACAGACAGACAAGAGGGAGCCATTAGGAGAGCGAGAGACAGAGAGACTCCGAGAGGGAGAGAAAAGTAGGGAGAGACGGAGAGGGATAGAGACGGAGACGCAGAGAGTTCGAGAAGCAGGTTAAGAGACCGAGGGGATGGGAGAAACGGAGCGGGAGAGAGACTGGAGAGAGAAACACGGAGGAACGTAGACACGGAGCTAGAATCCCAGAGAGGGACCTACGGGGACCCGCGCCGCGGCCCCACTCACCATGCTGCCCGTAGGCCCCCGCCGGGCAGACCCTACGCGGCAGGACTGCGCTCCGGGCACATAGAGGAAGGACTAGGCAGGTCTCAGGGGCAGCGCAATCCCGGTGACTGCCTGCAAGGGGAGGAGGGAGGCGGACAAGGTGGCGGGGTTTGGGGGGGTTGTTAAAGGGAAAGCGGAGGCGCGCGCTCCGCTGAAAGGAACCCCGGGCGCGGGTGTGGGGAGGAACACGGGAGAGGAGTGAGTTCCCTGCTCTTGCTGGCTGATTGGGCCTGCGGAGGAACCTCTCTGGGGCTCAGGTTAAGCATCTTTAAAACCGAGGCGAGGGGCCTGGTGGAGTCTTCCTCCTCAGATACCCTGCAGGGGCAGGGAGCTGAGTAGCCTGGGGAAGGAGCTTGGTCTGCAGGTCTGTTTTCCCGTTTGTCACTGAGTGGCCATCTCGTCGTCCTGGGCTCTGGCACCGAAAAGGTGCTCACTGCGTGGTGGGGTCCCGCGACAATGACCCACTCATGCAGCAACAGATCCAAGTCCAACTCTGCCCCTCACCCACTGTGCGGCCTTGGAAGAGAGCTTGGTCTCTCTGAGCCCGTTTCCACCTCTGGGAAATGAAGTACCGATTCTTTGGTGACGATCCAATGTCTAGACATACAATAGATGCTTAGAAAATGTTGGTAGGTCGAAGAGGGTCTGATCACACCCCTGACCGCACTCTGGGCCTATCACCCCTGAACCTGGTCTTTCATCCAGGTTCAATAATCAAACCTGGAAACTATGAGCTCCTCCCCCACCCCCCTGACTGCTTCCCCAGGCTGTTTCCCCAAAGTATGAGTCAACCCGACAGCAAAGGCAGGACTATGGGCTTTGTGGTTGAAGTGGCCAAGGCTTGGTCCCTAGCTCAGCTGCATCCAGGAGGTGTGCCCGCAGACCAGGACCCTTGTCTCCTGCAGGCTCAGTTTCCCCATCTGGAATATGGGGTGAGATCCAGCATATGATAATGTGAGGTTAGCCCTTGGCATGGTGAACAGTAGGTGCGTAATAACGATGCCACAGTATTCATTATAATTTATTAGCAGAAATAGGGCTTCGGACTCTTGTCCTGATTGTGACTCCAGGCAGGTTCGGATCCTCTCCAAGTCTGTTTTCCCCACCTGGAAAGTGGAGCTGTGCGCACCAACCGGAGACAGGCTTCTGCTGTCTGGCACCTTCTGTCCCTGACAGTCACACTGGCAGTGATGGTGGGCCTTTGTGGGGTTTGAAAAGACAGTCCCTCACCCCTGCCCCCTGAATCACTCAGGCAGCAACATTTTAGGCATCAGAAGGGCTTTTAGCAAAAGGATCCCTGGGGGTAAAGGATAAACTTGGCAAAGGAGAAGAACCCACAGAGGTTGGGGAGCAGTGACAGCTGAGTGTGGCTGTGGCCCTCTCTGCCTGAACACCCGGCCTTTGGGTTCCCAACCCACCAGCTGGCCTTGAAGCCATCAGAGCCAGAAACAAAGACACCATGGGTGTACCTCCTGCCTCCAAAAAACCCAACCCATCCTTCTGGGGCAGGGCCCGCTGGGTGTGTTAAAGGAGTCCTGGGGCGTCCCACAGGCCCCCTCAGTGCTGCTTCTCGTGGAGGACTTGGGAGCTGGGTGGCAGGCGCTGGAAGAAGGCTGGCCTCAGCAGGCAGCGGTAGGCCAGCAGGTGCGGGCCCAGGGCATACAGCATGTTGCACACGAAGAAGCAGGCCCAGGCATCCTCCGGCACACGGTAGGTGAAGGGTGTGCGCAGGTGCATGGAGGCACCCATGTGTGAGAACTGCGCCTGATGGCCACGCAGGGAGGATAGATGTCAGGGGCTGGGAGACAACCAGTCCCAGCATCAACAACATTCCACCCTGGGGAGCCCAGCAGTCCCTGGCCCCATCTTGCTGGCTCCGCTGACCTGCCTGTCTCCTCTTTCCAGTCCATCTGTTTGTCTCTAAATATCCCTGTCCCTACGGGTCCTGTCTGTCTTGTACATCAGTCTGTGAGCTTCTCCCCAGCTGCCTAACCAGAACCATGTCCACTGTGTCTGCTGGACCCTACACCCTATCTCTCTGTCCAGCTCTTCCTCAACCCAGACAGCTGCCCTTGACACAAATTCTGTTGATTATACCATCGATGTCCTCCTGATTCCCACTGCTCTGACCTGGGCCCAGCCTTTATCATACCCCATCAGGAACCCAGAAGTAGACCCCTAGCTCTGACGGTCCTCCACTGCTCAAATACCTCCCACTGTTCTCCATCTTTCTACACGGAAGCCCCCAAGGTCAGAGTTCAAAGCCCTCAGCATCTAGCTGCCAATTTCTCTAGCCTCTGCTTTTACCCTTGTTATGGCTCTGCTAAATCACCGTGCCCCTCTGTGCCTTTCCTTATACTGTTCCCATTCCCGAATGTCCTTCCCTGCCTGGAGCTGTCATACCCATATGTCTAAACCCAGTTCCTATGCCCCCTCTTTTAAGAAATCTGTCCCCTCTGTAATCCCTCTCAGCCTCTCCCTCTCCCTCTCTTCAGTTCTGACCCCATGGGGTTGGGGATGGTCTGTGTCTGGCTCTTTCTCCTCCAGACTAAGGAATCCTGGGGTACTGAGCTGGGGCTGGGGCCTCTCAGGGGCCCAGCATCACCCTGCCCAGGGAGAGCACAAAAGAAATTGATGGGTAGGCAGAAACTTTCTTTCTTATGCACCTGACCCCCAACACCCCACCCCCACCTCACCTGGCCAATGGCTCCAGCAAACACCAAGGCCCAATCAGGTAGCCAGGAACATCCAGGGAAGATAAGGGCATAGGCAGCCAGGCCATAGAAGGGCAATGCATAGAACATATACACCAGCATCTGTGATGAGCAGATATGATGAGCAGATGCCCCCGATAGGTCTCCTGAGACCCCTCAGGTGGGAACCCCAGGGAGGCTCTGGCCAGCCTCAGACCCCACCCAGGATGGAGGCTCTCTGCACATCCTACCCTGTGCAACCTGCACCTTTATTTCCTTTGGGGGTCCCCACCCTTCCCACTGCCCCCCACCTCACTTCTGTCCACAATGATCAGCTACAAGATGGGGATGTGATTCAAACTTAGCCAATCAGAGCCTGCCTGAGCCTTGTGCTTAAGCTCTGGGGAGATAAAGGCTCACATTCCTCTGGGGTAGCTAAGTAGGGCAGAAGGAAGCCTGGCGCTGCCCAAGGCTCTCTCTGCCATTCCACAAAGGGACCACCTGGGAGGGGAGCCCATGCAAAGAAAGCAGAGCCCAGAGCCAGAGCTCTCCTTGAGCTCCTGGATCGAGCCATACCTGAGACTGTATCTATACTTTTTTTATAGGACAATAATTCCATTTGAGCTTCTGCCAGTTGGACTTGTGTTTTAGGCACCTGCTTCAAAGAAGCCCAGAGGACCCCTATACATGGTCCTTTCCTCCCACCTGCCCTCTCACCTGCACCTTTGGGTAGGCCACAGGGTCCCGTAGGTATGGTTCGTACTGATAAATATAGACAAAGCAGGCATCTGTGGGGCAGTCAAGCACCACCTGCGGCCAACAGACAAACCAACAACCCACCTCAAATATCCCTCCCACCAAAAGCTTTCCCCATCCTCCCAGACAGGGCTCACACCCCTCGTTCTACCCTCCTCCAGCCTTGGTTCTATCCTCTGGCCGAGAAGCCACAGATCTCAAAGCTGGGGAGAAGGCTACAGGGAATGGGGCTTAGTGGTGAAACACTCAGGTCAGACTCGAAGAACTTCTGGGTTCCTGTTGCTTCCAGCCAATGGGAGCCTCCAGCAGGAACTCCGAGGCGGGGAGGAGGAAGAGGACCAGGTGCTTAATCCCCAGCTCCCTCTCTGCTTTGGCCAGTGGCTGGGTCCCTTATCTCTGGCCAGTGGCTGGGTCCCTCCACTGTGACACCTCTAGCCAGGCAGCTCCTCCTCCACAGGTCCAGCTCTCATGGCCCTAGCAATGCCGTTTCCTCCGCTCACGGGGGAGAAGGGCTCTCCACTGCTGCTGGCTCCTGGGTCCCCCATCCCTTGTGTGTCCCCTTAACTCTAGCTACACCTCTTCAAGGAAGTTCCTCCTGAAAACCCCTTCACTGGGACTACCGGGCAGAGGGGCAGGGGCGGATTCTGTTTCCTCTTTGGACCCTGAGAGACACCACACCTACCAGGTGGCAAATTCCATGAAAGCACAAAACTTGCAGCTGCTTTACACACCAGTGCCCTGGACCCAGCACATGGCCTGGCCTGGAGAAGTCGCTTAATAGATATTTATGGGAAACTAGCCTCTTACCAGCAAACAAATCAGAATCTATATATATAAAAGGCTAATATGCAAAGTGTCCCCTAGGGCAGTGGTCGGCAAACTGCGGCTCAGCAAACCGCGGCTCACAAGCCACATGCGGCTCTTTAGCTCCTTCAGTGTGGCTCTCCCACAAAATACCGGCTCTTCCACAAAATACCGACTTCTGCGCATGGGACACGAAGTTTCAATCGCACTGTATGTGCGCACCCGCATGTGGTATTTTGTGGAAGAGCCACACTCAAGGGGCCAAAGAGCCGCATGTGGCTCGAGAGCCGCAGTTTGCTGACCACTGGCTTAGACCATGCATGAACAGGCATGTGGGGCCCTCTTCAGACCTTTGGGAGGGGATGGAGGACCCCGTGGTGGCTTCTAGGTGCAGGGCAGTGACCCAGATCAGGGAGGTAGGATTCCTCAAAGCCAAGTACTTACCAAGGATGTTTCCTGGGAGAAACACCAGGATGCTCATGACGAAGGACCCGAGCCAATACAGTCCAAGGTTCCGGTACCTCTTCCTGGGTGGGGAATGAAGGGATGACCAGTAGATAGATATCTACCCCCAGTCTCAGAGCATGAGCCAGGGCCCAGGGTGCACCCTGGGCTCCCCAGCTTTGGTCTTTCCCAGTTTTGCTCAGGATGAAAGGGAAGTTGAATGAGAGAATAAACAGTAAGACCTTCTGTCAAGGACAGAAGTGGCGGCCCAGGCGCACAGTGGTAAGAGAAGAGAGCCAACCACCAGTCACCTGTGACATTCCCCAGAACCTTCTCCCAGTCACACCTGGCTGGAGCCGTAAAGAGGCCTCCTGATTTTCCCTACTTCTGGCTCCACCTCAGTCTGAGACCCCACCTGAGGACTTGGCCTGCTTTCCAGGGCCCAGGTGCACTCCACCCACCCCTCGCACCTTCTGTGGATGGCACCAGCCATGGCCAGGTAAAGGAGGTAGTGAACGATGCCATTCCAGTAGCAGATGAAGACTCCGTGTGCAGTGCGTAGGTATGGCTCACCCTGTGGAAGCAGGTGCAGGGATCAGACACATAGCCAGGCAGGGGGCATCCTAGACCAGGGGTCCTCAAACTACGGCCCGCGGGCCACATGCGGCCCGCCAGGTGTTTTTGCCGCCGCTGCCTGTTGCTTAGCAGCCGACTAGTTTTTTTTTTAAACTATAGACCGGCCCTCCAACGGTCTGAGGGACAGTGAACTGGCCCCCTGTTTAAAAAGTTTGAGGACCCCTGTCCTAGACCAACCCCTACATACCTCCTTGGTGTAGAACTCCACGAAGCCCACCATGTAGCCATCTTCCTGGAGAGCGATAAGGAGGTCCACCACCGAGGTGAAGGCAAATACTGCAAACACTGCAGGGAGAGTGTTCAGGGAAGACCTGGGAATGGGTGGGGCCTGATGCTGCAGCGGGGACCCAGATCCAACCTATGACTCGGTGCCCAACTGCTCCCAGTTCCCACTCCACAGGTCACATGAACTACCACCCTCCCTCAAGGGGGGGCACAGTCCTTGCCTTTGGGATTCCCGGCCTGGGAGATGCACAGTCCCTGCCTTTGCCTTCAGGAGACTCCAGAGTGATGGGAAGACAGTTCGCACTCTCAGGAGCCCCAAGTCTGAACAGGAGGGCCTCTGAGGTTCCATTGTCAACAGTTTTCCAGCCTGAAGATCTCCAGTCCGATGGGAGCCCTTCAAGGGCCCCCACCCTGATGAAGGAGGCCCTTCAAGGACCCCCACCCTGATGAAGGAGGCCCTTCAAGGACCCCCTGTGTGATGGAGAAGCTGTTGCTCACACAGTTCTCTTCCCTAGGACCTTCCCACTAACTCACCAGCGTAGTGTGGGTCGTAGTAGATCTCCCCGCGGGACAAGCTATAGATAGCCACAAAGAGCTGACCGAGGATCAGGGCACTCATCAAGGCCACCCCAAGGGGACTGTGAAGAGGAAAACGAAGTCAGAGAGGCCAGAGCCAGGGTTGAGACCCAACCCCCTCCTGGTGAGGGCGAGAGCAGACTCCAGGAGGCTCCAGGTGACGAGGCTGAAGCATGTGTCTGTCCATTCAGAAATGCCTTTCCTTAAACTGCCCTCTCCCATCACCAGGCTCTTTCCCCAGCTGCTTCCATCTCCTGGAAACTCCTTCCAGAAGTTTCTTTTCCACTTGGCAAATTTCTACCCATCCTTCGTGGTCCATCTACATTGTTCCTCTTCCAGGAAGCCTTCTCCAACTCCTCAGAAAAGATTATTATCAAAGTTGGGCCAGCTACAGAGGGGGCACCTGTCAACCCTTTCTGACTATATGATTTATCCCATCACTTGCTGATATGTTTGACTCAATTGCTCAGTCAGTCATTCAACAACACTGAGCTCTGGGGCTAGACCCAGCGCCCACCCCTGCCAGATGGTCTCTAGTGCTCTCACTGTGAGAAGCTCCTGACTCCTCCCGGCTAAAGTCCACCCCACCTCTACCCTGATCTGTTCCCATTGACCCGATAAAACAGGTCAACCAGGTGCACAGACAATAGAAGCCAGGTCTCTGGGCAGCCCCCCAAAACCTGGCAAGGCCTAGAGAGGACGGATCTATCCAAGGTCACACATTCTCCCCTCCTCCCCCACTCTCTCTTCGATTCTACCTTCTCCAGAACTCCTCTAACAGCTAGGATCCCCATTCCTGCCTCATCTGACTAACAATGACAATTCGAGTAATCAGATGGGACCACACCAGAGTCTTTGAACACAATTCATAATCCTTCACTCTATGGGATGAGATCTAGGATTATGTTCATTACACAGTGAAGAAACTGAGGCTTTTAGAGGCAACCTGGAACACTTCAGGTCCAGGGGGGTGGGGCCAGCAATTTGTACCCAAGGAGCTAACCTCCTAGTCAAGACTCCCTCTACTCCATTCTTGGGTGGAGCTGGGTTTAGGAGTGTGAGGGGCTTTGCTGATGCCTGGTACCCAGCGGCTGGATCCACAGGACCAGAATCTAAGGTTAGGAGACAGGCACAGGGAAGTTTGAGGCATGTATGGGGAAACTGAGGCTAGAGGAGGGGTAGGCCAGCCCTGAACAAAAGAAAGTCCCAGGCCTTAAACAGGAGGGGCAACCTGCTAGGGGTGGTGCAGCGGAACCTGTGTGGCAAGAGCCAGGTCACCAGGGCCTTATCTGGGGCAATACTTTGACCCTTGGCGACTTTGGAACCTATGCTGGGCATATCCCTGGGAAAACCAGGGAAATGGTTTCCAAAACCCTGCCCTGTGTGTGGGGGGGTGGAGGGGGGCGGCATTGGCTCTGTTTCTGGAGGTTCCTTCTCCCCGGGCCCCAAACGTCCCAGGGCGCCCCCACCCCCAGCACACAGCCTCTGTGCCAGCGGAAAGAGGAGTTCGGGTTGGAAGTTCTAACCCACGCCCCGGCCCGAACGGCTAGGGGCTCAAAGGCTCACGCCGAGAGCCCGGCCAACCGATGT